AAATGATAGTAACTCCCAATTTAACCAAAACAGACAAGTCTTTTTTGTTGAAAAGAAGTTGAAAATATGAATTATTATATTATTCTAAAATGAAGACTTTTATTATCAATTAAATAATGGAATATACCTCATCTTATTATCATACTGAATGAATAAAGAAAGACAATAAAAAAAAAATAAATTTAAGTGATAATATTTATTAACCGTTAAATCTTATTTGGTTATTAATATTTATTTTAACCAAAAAAAAGTAAATTTTCTTCCATTTCTGGATATACCTATTATAGAATATTATTTATAAGAAGAAGTTAATCAGTAATAATTATTTTACTTTTATTATAACAAATTTACTAATAAAAGTATATTAATTCCAATTATAAAGAAATGGTTTATATTGTATTATAACATAAAAAAGTTTTCAATAATAAACAAAACCACTCTTCGAATAAAATAGTAATAGATTTAATAAAAGTTTATTTAATCTAATACCTTAATTTCTTATTACAATAACTAAATACTTAATAAAATATCAAAGAAGGATTGATAAACAAAAAAATAATACATTTTATGATTGTAAAAAAACTATACTTTTAAAAAAGGTATTTAAAAAATAAAATGAGTATAACAAAGTATTAGTAAATAAATTCTAAAATAATAACAGAAATAAGGTTTTAATTTAAAACAATTTTATACAAAAAAGTGAAATAACTAAAATTAATATTATTTAGTATAAATAATATTTTTGTTTTATAAAATGATATTAAAAAAGTAAAATCTAATTTTTTTAATAAAAATAAATAGTATTAAAATTTAAAAGATTTAAATGAGAGAAAAAACTTAATAATCAATTAATAATACATCAACTATAATGGAAAATGAAAAATTTAATTGGAATACTATTGAATCTGACCCTGGAGTATTTAATGAAATGGTAAAAAATTTAGGATGTGATGATATTCAATTTAAAGAAATATTTTCTTTTGATGATTCTGCTACATTTGAACGAATCAAGTTTGTTTTTTATTATTGTTAAAAGAAAGAAATATACGTTAATATGTCTAGACCAATAAAAGGATTTATTTTATTATTTGAATATAATAAACAAACAATAAATTATATAAGAAATGAATATAGCTTTATTGAAACAAATGAATATCCTGATATTTTCTTTGCTGAACAAGTTGTTCAAAACGCTTGTGCTACTCAAGCAATATTATCTACATTAATGAATATCCCAAATATTAATCTAGGACCAACTTTACAACAATTTAAAAATCAAACACTACCATTAAATCCTCATGAACGTGGGTTGGCTATTGGAAATAATGAAATAATTAGAAAAGCCCATAATGATTTTGCTCAGCCATCTGAAGCACTTGAAAATAAAATATCAGAAAAATTAAAAGGAGTGGAAGGACGTGCATATCACTTTATTAGTATTATTCCATATAATGGTATTTTATTATTACTTGATGGACTTAGTGAAGGACCAATTATTATTGGAGGTGCTGATGAGAATTGGCCTATTACAGGAATGAAACCATTTTTTGAAGGACTTATTAATGCTATGCAAGGAAGTCTTGAATTTACTTTATTAGCAGTGGTTCAAGACCAAATTAAGAAATATCAAGAATTATATGAAAATGCTCTTGCTGAGAAAAAAGAATATCAAATAGAATTGTATAAAGATATTATTGATGAAGAAAAAAAAATTAAAGAACAACAACACAAAGAAAATAAAAGAAGAAAACATGACTATATGCCATTAGCATTAAATTTAATTCTATTTCTTGGAAAACGTCATAAATTAGAACAAGAAATAGAAAAACAAATAAATGAAATAACAAAGAAGTAATTGATTATTATAAAAGAAAGAATAAACATCATAAAGTTAAATAAAACATATCTTATAAAAATTTATTTAAATAAAAAAAAATTTAATATTTAATAAATTTGAGAGGAATTGATGGTAATTATTAAAAAAGGGGTTCTAAGAAACTTATGGAACTCTCTTTTTTTAGTTGTAAAATGCCTAAACAAACGAAACAGAGAAAAGTTAAAGAAAAGAAAGAAGAAAAAAAACCAAAGGTAATTACTAATGTTTGTAGATAAATGCTTTGTTAAATGTAAATAATTTATTTTATTCGTTCCTTTTTTTAAAAAAGAAATATTAATTCAATTTAAGAATTCTAACCAAACGACTCCTAGTATTATTCCTTTTATTCCTTCAATTAGTGAAGGTAAATTACCTAGTGTTCAACAACTTTCTGCTTTAAAATCTAATTTACCTTCTTCTAATGAACAAATAAATCAAGTATTAGTATCATCTATTCCTTCCAATGCTCAAAGAGTTCAAATGACTCCTCAACAACCTATTCAAATATTCCCTTCTATGGTTCAAGTCAAATTAGAACCTTCTCAAATTCAATCACTTCAAACACAAAACCAACATTCATTTATTCGTCAACAACAAACTTCAAAACCTCAATTAGTTAATGCACCTCAAATAGTTACTTCTCATCAATCAATTAATAGGCAAGGATTCCAACAACAAACTCAAACAACTCTTCCTCAAACAATTCAAAAAATACAGCCTAACCTTCATACTATCTCAAATCAAAACTTTCAACAAATTCAAAACTTGTCTAGGGTTAATAATACTCAAACTCGTCCTCTCCCTCAACAACAAAATCAACCAATTCAAACTGGTATCAGCCTACAACAATTACGTCAATTACAACAACTTCAACAAACTCAAGGCATTATCCCTGTTACTCCTTTTATTACAACTCAAAATGGTCAACTTCGTCTTGACCAAAAAGTTCAACTTTTTCAAGCAATTACTCCTCAAGGAACTAAACAATTCTTTGTTAGTAATGGTGTTGCACAAGAAATAGTTCCTACTCAAGTCCATTCTAATGGACAAAATAATCTTCCAAGTATTCACCCTCAAATTCCTACTCAACCAATAACCATTTCACAAACTAACCAAAAGCAAACAAGTAATTTTATTCTTAGTACTAATGGTAATTTATCAACTCAAAAAATTGGATATAACATTTCTAAACCTTTGAATCAACCAATAACCCAAAGGAATACAAATCAACCAATAAATATACCATCTAGTCAATTAACTTTTAATCTTAATCATCCTAATCAACAAAAAACTTCCTTTCCTCAACAACAACTTCAAACAAAACAAGAACCAAACCAACTACCTCAAATGCCACAACAAATACAACAAGGATTTTCATTTAAACCTCAACCAACACAAGTCCCAGTTTCACGTATTCTTCAATTAAATTCTCAACAACTGCCTCAACAACAAAAAGGAATTTATGTTTTGACTCCATCAAACCTTATTCATCCATTAACTACAAATAAAATTAATATAACAGGATTACCACAACAAACTGGTCAACCTATTCTTACACAAATACAACCAAATGTTCAAATGAAACAAACAATAACACAAACTCCTCCATTTATTCAACAAAAAATAGTTCCTCAGCCAATAAAAAAGCCTTATAGCAAAAGTATTAAAGAAGAAGACAGTCAATCAAAGACCGGAAGTGTTGGGTCTGGAGGAAGAAAGAAGAAAAAAGAAAATAAAAAAATAATGGAATCACCACAAAAACCAAGTTTAATTGATGAACATAAAAAAGAAGTTTTAAAGATTTATGAAAATAATACTCAAAATATAAATGGGATGATAAAAGAACATCCTAAATACCCAGAATCATTTGAACAATTATTACATGACATTGCCAAATATTGTAATGCAAATGCATTTTTTAAATATGATTGTTTTGAAGATAAAATTATGGTATCAAGTGCATTATCAACATTATATAAAGACCCAAGAACTATATTAATATTTAAAGTTAATTCTCCAATTAATGATAAATGGGGATTTCCAAAACCTTTCTTTTCTAATGGTTTGTTTCATATTTTTTTTGTAATAAAACATAACGTTCTTATTGACTTTTAATAGATCAAGAATTTAATGATGAAGTTGTTATTTCTGGAATGTCAAAAGATCATTCAGTAGAACAATTCCTAAATTTATTTTATGAATTCACTAAAACTCTCTTAAATACAACAGAGCATAGTGTAAATGCTTAATATGATTTTATATATTTACATTTATCGAATGTTTGATTTAATCATAAATTAATATCTTCTTCATTTAATTATTGTATCTTTTTCTTTATTAACAAAAATAAAATAAAAAATAATAATTTAATTTCTTTTCTTCTTATAATAATTTTTCAACGTTAGATAACTTCTTTGTTACACTAATTCTTTTCTTCAATCATCTCCTTCACTATCTGAATCTTTCAAATCATCATTCTCATTATCATCTGCTTTGTCAAATGCAGCAAGTGCATCTCCATTACTATCGTCATCTTCATTACTTTCATCATCCTCTTCTTCATTTTCTCCAAAATAATCATCAACATCTGACTCTTCATCTTCCATTTTCATACTTTGATTATTATCACTTTGAGATATTCCTTTCTTATCTAACCTTTTTAATTTCACTTCATGAAGCTGAATTCCTTCATCTGAGTATTGTAACACAAATTGAATTTTTTGATTTGGCTTATTTACCATTTGATATGTTTGTCCCTAAAAATTAAATTTTACTAATTAATATTATAACTTTAAAATTTAACAAACCTCTATTTGAATTTGGTCTATATCTGGTTGGTCTAGAGTTTCAGCTCCACCAACAGCACTCGCTACTAATTATTGTAATGCCTTGTTTTATTAACAAATACACACAAACACTCAAAAACAATAATTTCATCATTAACCATTGGTTTTACCTCAACATCATATACCTTTCCTTCTTCCATTGAAATAATTTTTGAATTTTAAGTTCAGATGAAATTTGATAATAGTCTTTGGTTTATCAATTATTTTAATTGAAAAGACAACAAGAAGTATTAGAATATTTAAGAGAAGTCATAAAAATTGTTTTATTAACTGGTTCTATGGATTTATCAAGTCCAAACTCTACACCCACAGAAAATACACCTCTACTTAAAACTAACCAAAAGAGTCAAGAAGAAATTAATGTTTTTCAATCTCCATCAAAAATAGACACTTTTATTAATTCCCTATCTCGGTTATTTAATTCTGAAACAACAAACACTTTAGACATTGACACTCAAACAACATTATCAACAAAAACACAACTCACAACATTATCAGAATTTATCAAAGTTGAAAACCAATATAAAGAGAAAAGGGAAAGATGTTTAAAAAGAAAAGGACCTTATGAGGCATTGAGAAGTAATTGAATTGATTATATACATTTTTGGGGAAGTTTAATGTATTTATAAATAAACTTAATTTTCCATAAATCAGAGAAATTTGAATAATAAAAAAAGAATAATGGAATTAAATAAAGAAAGTAATAAAAAATAAAAAATAATAGAAAACCCTTAAAATTTATAAAAAATTAGTACAACCCTTCTGAACTGAGAAGTGAATCAGTGAGACCATGTCTGGCAAGATGACTGCTAAATCCCAAGTTGCTACTCAAGTCGTTGTTAAAAAACCAGGATTCGATGCTTATTCAAAATTAGTTAAAGAAGCTGTTGCTGGAATTCCAGAACTCAAAGGACTTAAAGTTATTAGTGCTAAGAAAGTTACTATTAGCAAAGATAAAAAGGCTACTGTTATTTTTGTTCCATTGAGAATGATGAGAATTTGCAGAGCTTCATTCGAAAAAGTTATTGAAGCACTTGAAAAGAAACTTAATGGATCAGTCTTTATCATTGGTAAAAGAGTTGTTGCACACACTAAGAAAACTGGACAATCAGGAAAAACTGATTACAAACCAAGATCAAGAACTTCAAAAGCTGTTCATGAAGCTTATTTAAATGAAATGTTATATCCAGTTGAAGTTGCTGGTCAAAGAGTTCATGTCACCTTAGCCAACAAGAAAATTGCTAACTCTAAAACTGTCTTTGTTACTGTTGATGATGCTAAATTAAAGAATTCAGTTAAAGCTAAGCTTCCAATTTACTCAGCTGTTTACAAGAACATTACTGGTGAAAAGGTTAAATTTGCATTCCCAGTTGTTGCTTAAGGAATGTAATCATCGAGGTTTTAGAATACAATTTTAGGTATCTTTTTTGATTTTATTGTTTTGTTGTATTATTTTTTTAATAAATAAAGAAATTCAATATATGTTAAAAAGAGTTAATGTTTTTAAAAGTTATAAACTAATTTATTACTATTTTTCTTTAATAAAATTTATTTTTCTATTTGATTAGAAAAAATAGAAAATATAATAATAAAAATAAAATCTACCCATATTCAATTCCATTTAGAATTTAAGGAGATGTGGATGGTCACCATTCTTAAGTGTGAAGTAAGAAGCCATATATTCTTTAAGGTATGGAACTTTCTTAATTTCTGCAACAATACTTTCATCTACTTGTTTTTGTTTTTCGACAATTAATGCTTTCTTAGCTTCATATTGTTTCTTAGCAAAATCTTCTTCAACGGTTTTTCCAAATGCAGCTTTCTTAATAGCAATCTTTTTGAAGAATTTAACATCTACACCAGTAGTATCAACTTTAGAAACATCTACCTTTTGAGAAGTAGCAATAACATATCTTTGATTAATTCTCATTAATGGAACTCCGTTGATTTTGAATGGTCCAGTAACAATAAGAGCTCCTGATTTAATACATTGTTTTAAGAAAACAACTTTCTTTCCTGCATATTTACCAGCAACAATAATAAGAATAGCACCTGGTACAATACTTTTTCTTAACTTTTCAAGATTCCATGCTGGTTTATCAAGAGCTGTTATTTTAGCTCCTTTTCTTGTTCTTAATTTCTTCTTTTGTTCTTGAATCATATCATCAGTTGGGTAATAAGCTGGAACTTTAGCATCACCTGCTTTAACTGGAACAAACCATTGTGGAGCTGACATGTTGTTGTCCTTAAAGGGTTCATCTTTTTTAGTTCTTTTCATAGGGTAAAACTTGTTATTATTTTTTATTTTATTTTTGTCCTTAATAAATAACATTTTTTAAAATTTTTGTTTTATAAAAGAATTTGATTAAGTCATTCTTTATATTTCTTTTTGTGATAATGAGGGTTGTTGTCCAGATTTTATTGAAGCCAATACAATTTTTTGAAAAATGGATAAAAAAGGAAAAGAGGTCTTTTGAATAATTAACTAACATTGTTAGGATTATTTCTTCGAACAACTTCTTTATTAATTATTGATTAGGGCACTTAATTATTTTACACTTTCGACTGGAACCTTTGATACAAGCTTTATTTAGTTTTTAACAAGAATAAATAAAAAGGACTGTTTATTATTTTGGTTTTAGAATTGTAGACTCATCGAAAAATTAATAATACTTAATTATAGATATCAAAGTATTATTTTGGAAACTTCACTAAAAACGATAAGAAACTAAGAACTTCTTTGTTTCTTCATTTATGACTGAAGTCCCTTGTATATCTGAATTATTCTTCCAACATGAACCAACCCCATTACTTCTTACATATTGTAAGATTATGATTAAAGGATGTGATTTAGTTGAGTCAAGAGTTCATTGTAAATTACTAATACGATATGCTACAGGATATGGATTACTTAGAGAAGTTTTATCTTCTTTAGGAAAATTAGAAATTCAAAATACACCACCATCTTCATTTATATTTCGTGGAAATTCAGCATTTACTCGATTATTTTTCTATTATATAGAATCTAGTTCTACTAAATATTTAAATAAAGTTATATCAACTTTAGTTGATGAAATGATGACTAACCCACGCTTCTATTTTGATTCAGTTGATCCTACACAAGCAGAAAATGAAAATTTAGTATTTGAAAGTTTAGATAGTGTAACAGAAATTATGGATGAGTTAGGAAAATTAATAATAAGTAATTTAGACTTAATTCCCCCTCAAGTTTTTGGAATTATAAAAGAATTATTAAATGAAGTCCAAAAGAAAGATCCTGAAAATACTGAGCAAGTAATTATTACATTTAAAACTATCTTCTTTTTAAGATTTTTATTTCCTGCTCTAAATAGTGCTGAAAAATATGTTTCTATTCAACTTCGTTTAGAATTATCCCAAATTATTGACCAAGTTCGAAGTATAGTTAAATTTGGACAATTAGTGGTTAATGGGAAACACTCACCAGATGAATTAACCAAATATGTTCTACAAGCATGTGGTGGATTTAGTAAAACAGTTGATTCATTATTTAAAACAGTAATTAAATATAATGAAATTAAATCAAAAGAATGTCTTGGTATTGATTATAACACTCAATTATCAGTAACAAAAGAATTATTATCATATATTAAGCCATTTTTAAAAGATTTTCAAACAGAATTAGAATCAAATGGACATGCAGATATTTTTAATAGAATATTCTATTGTTCTAAAAATACAAAACATGATTGTTTAGAAGTTACTCCTTTATTACTTACTACTAAAAAGATGCATCATTTTATGATGAGTCGATTATCTCAATTACAACATGAAAATGAATTTTATCTAAAAAAAATAGTTGAAATGAAAAGAATTAATAAAAGACTAAAAAGTACACTTGAATCTTCTTGTCCATCAAGTCCTTTACAAACTACTCCTTCATTACCTAATCCAGATAACCGTCGTTCAGTAGATATACCGTCAACAAAAAGTATTCTTCTTTTTCAATAAAATCTTTTATTTTAATAATTCAATTGTCATTTTAACTGAAACGTATTAAATTATAATTTTATTATTCTAAAGGAACATAGACAAACATGTTCTTTGATATTACTGGAAGTCGATAAATGAGTTGTTTTGATTCAAGATATAATTTTTCTTGTTCTATTTTTCGTTGAAAATTCTAATTAAAATGAGTTTATCTAAAAATAAAATAATTGATAAAAAAAGAAGTAAAAAACAAACAGCTATGATATATCTTTCAGATGTATTGATAATTTTTTGATGAAGTTCTGGGTAAATAAAACATCTCATAGTAAGTTGGCTATATTCTACCATTACATTCCACATTTTTTGAGCAAGAAACTTTTTTTTATTAAGAGCATATTTAACAAAAGAATCTAATAAAGAATTCTTCATATCATCACCATATTTTAATCCATAAAATCCTTTTGAGACATCAAGATAACATAAATTATGTAATGGTGATTCTAATGAAACTGTAGGTTCACAAATAACAAATATTTGAATAAATCGAAGTTGTAAAGGAAGTAGAGCTTCTTGTTTATCAACAATTTGTATATTTGGAGATGTTTGTGATGAAACACCACCAATACATAATGAAGATAAAAATTTAGCAATAGCAATTAACTTGGAAATATCATATTTTTCACTTGAATAGACAATACATTGAAGACCTGATAATAAAGAAAATAAAATGTTTGGAAAACAAGATGAGTAAGTACTAACTAATTTTTGATAATCAAAATCATTTGGTTCTGGTGTATTTCCTAAAAAAGTACATGGTGGGAACGGTGGATTTAGAGAATTTTCAGAAATAGTATATTCTGATATATTTGAATCAATAGAATCTGATTTTGTTAATGGTTTTTGTTGTGATGAAATAGTATTTTTATAAGTCTTATGAAATGGTAATGTTGTATGAGAAGCAAATGACCAATTAAATAAAGAATGACCACCTGAAGCAATAATATGAGATGGATGAGTTAAATTAATGAAATCAGTTAATACTGAATAGTAAAAATGTGTTGATAATAAATTATAGGCAAACCCTGTTACTACCCTTTTGAATAAAGAAGGTGTAGGGTCAGTTGAATCTATAAGTTCTTCAAGAGATAAAATAGATGAATAAGAAATTGATGTGTCATGAAGTTTTAAAGCTATTGACTGAAGTTTTGATGATAATTGGGTAAGTCTTTCTGTAAGTAAATTAACTTGAGAAGAAGTAAATGGTATGGTTTGTATAATTGCAATACAACACGTGGTAACAAATCCTCTTTTATTTGATGGGTTATAGCAAGTAAAATGAATACTCACCACATGATAATTAGTAATAGTATTTAATAATAGTGTAACAGGTGCATATCCATAATAATCTGCTCCCATCATCATTCCAATTAATTCTTTTTCTACTGAACTATTCATTGGATGAGTTAATTGTTTATAAGCTATTTTTTCTCCACTAACATTATCAAATTCAATAATATACATCCCAACAAATAAATTATTCATTTCAAGTTTATTAGAAACAAAAGAATCACCAAAAGGAATAGATGAAATAACAGGAATAGTTAATAATGGAACATCTGGTGAAGAGGTATTACTTTGTTCGTTCATTTCTTTAATTAAAAAATTTTAAAACGCCATCTCAAAATCATCAAAAATAGATTATTTTTAAGAATTTTAAAATAACAATTTTATTTAAGTATTTATTTATATTTTTTTGTTATTTATTCCATACCATCAACGTCTAATTCAAAAATTTGTTGAATTTTTAAATTTGGTGATGGTTCATATATTTCAATTGTATCTTCTTCAGTATCAATTTCATCCCATTTACTTTTATTCATAAACTGATTAATTTGTTCATAAGAAAGTTGTTTTGGTTTTTGATATTCAAGAAATTGATCGAAGTTAGTGTTTTTAAAGAAAGGATAGTTATTTAGAAAATAGTCATAAAGGTCATATTTATTATCTAACATATTCCATTCAATATTTTTTAATATACAACTTAATATTGTTCTATATAATGGTTTTGTATATTTTATTTCAAAAGAAAATTTTTGTTTTCTTAATTGAATTTGAATTGGTTGATGAAGCTCTTTTTCTTTTGAACTATTAAATTCTATTTGTTCTTCTTTAGACATAAACTCTATTTCATCTTTATCGAATGTATTTTTTACTCCAACTGATTGAAAACTTTGACGAATAATATTTGAATTCATATTTGCTTTAATGATCCATGACATTTTAGTTTTACGATAATCTGAAATAGTGCCAATAATTCTTTGATTTATTCTTCTTTCAAACGCATCATTTATCATTAAATGAATAAAAGTATCAATTGGATTCCAGTAATAATTAATTTCTTGTTTATTATACATTATTTCAATTTTGTTCATATTAATATATGACTCAATTTCTTTATCTTCAAAATATTCTTTGAGATGTTCATTTGCAATAAATATAACTTTTGAAAAATACTTCTTTATACTTTTCTTTTTATTAATTTCTTTTATAATAATTTCTTTGAACCATTCTTTAAAGTTATTAATGTCACAATACGTGTTTTTTATCGTTCCTATAAAAATATGTTCATTTTCTTTATCTAAATACTCTTCTTCTTGACTTGGACTTGAACAAACTAATAAAGGGTTCATGCTTGTTCCATCAGCACAGATACATCCCATTACATTAGATAGTAACATACCTTCATGAAATAAAACAGGGTATTGTCTTTCCATATGTGTTGGGTGTTCTTTTAGTTCATTGACAAAATCTTCTAAGTGAAGTGATTTATTAACAATTAGTCTAGGAGATTTGTACAAATCAAGTATTCCACCAAAATTACCAATACAAAAAATAAATGACTTTGGTACTTCTTTACATTTTTCAATAAAACTTTTTTTATATTCATCTCCTATTTTTTCAATGTTATAATTCTTAAGATCATGATAGAATATTATATTTGGGTCTACAATTTCTCTCCATCCAAACACATTAAGTTCATTAACTAAATTATAATTAAAGAATATTCCATACTTTTGTGCTATTGAATGTATTTGATTAATACTAAGAAACCCATAAACTCTTTCAACGTTTTGTAATTGAAAAATAAATTGGTTGAGCTTTTCTTTTGGTGTAAAAATTAAAGAACTTTCTAATACCATAAATCTGTTATGAAAAATTTTATCTATTTCTTCGATATCATAAGGATGTCTTAGATAAAGAAATATAAATTGTTCAAATGAATTATTTATTATTTTAAATTCTTTTCTTTGAATTTCTTTTTTAATTTCTTGTTGAATATTTCTCTCTAATAATTTTAAAACCATTGGTTCTTTCTCAGAATATCGTTTAACATACCAATGATAAATTTTCTTTTGTTCTTTTGTAAGTTGCAAATAAAAATTTTTAGTTATATACTCTTTCTTCTTAATAGATGAATCAAACTCTTCACTATAAGTCTCATTCTCATCAACTAATTCATTTAGTGAATTACTTTCATAAAATTCTTCATCTAAAATATACTCAACTTCTTTTTTTCTTTCTATCTTAGTTAATGTTGGTATTTCAATAATACTTTCATCATTTTCTGACCAACTACTAATATCTGAAAATGTATTTTCTTCTTCTACTATTCTTTGAGTTAATAAAAAATTATCATTAAAGTTTTTTTGCATGTTTATTTTAGTATATCCATTATTTATTTTTTCATTTATATTAGTACTTGTTAATTCATTAATAAATTTTTTACATGTTTTTTCTTTATCTTCAATTCTTGGACTTTCATTTGTTTTAGATAAACTTCTTATAAAATTACTTTCCAATAACCCACATTTAGTACACACCATATCTAATACTTCTTCTTTTAATTCCGAATAATCTAATTCATAATCATTAAGTGCAAGAGTTAAAGGATTTAATTTCCTAGATTCAGAATGATTTAAAACAATTAATTCAATATTATAATTCTGAAGTTCTATCATATTATTGAAACATAACTGAAAATATTCATCTAATAAAATAAATCTTTTTCCTTGAAATTGCTTTTTTCTACTAATTATTTGTGGTATTACTTTCTTAACAAACCATTCTTTCATTTGATCAAATGTATAATATTCTCCTTTAACATGAAGTGTTTCAAACTTAAATCCATCTAACCCCACAATCATCACTTTATTAGATAATTTAGACTCTCTTCCTAATTCAAATCTTTCACTGTACTGAATAAGAGATCTTCTAGTAATTACATACATTTTCTTATCTCGATAGTTTTGATATCCATATTCTTCTAAAGAAAAAATACACTCCTTTGGAGTTATTTTAATTTTATTTAATATTTCTTGCCTCTTTATAGAACAGTCATACTCTCTTTCTTGTTTAATTAATGGAACAACTCTTCTTTCATAATAAAATCCAGTACTTCCAAAATTTACTGATAACGGTAATTTATTCTCTTTAAGAAATAAATTAACAGAGTTTTTTGTTGCAACAATTCCTTTTGTTTGAAGAGTATAAAGAAAATTAGATATTTGCGTTGTAACAAGTATTTCGTTCTGTGTCTTTTGACCCATGAATAAATTAATTTTATAGTTCTTCTGAACTAAAACAATTTAAATATATATTTGAATTTGGCTTTTATTCTAATTATTGGTCAGTTACTTAATTCTATTATTCTTTTTCTGCCAAAATATTTACTTTTCATTTAAGTGATATATCTTTTCTTTTGGTTGTAATATTTCTTTTTTTTTAAAACAAAAAAAAAAGAGTTAAAAAATTGGAACTTCAATTTCTTGTTTATCGTTGTTTCTTACTATTTCTCTCTTCATAAGTATCATGCATAGCTTTAATTCTGTTTATGATGTCTAATGCTGTAACGGTAGAACCTGAATCATAAACATCCATTATATTCATTTCAATAGCATCTTTATATAATAATTCATTATACTCATGTTTACCATGTAATACTTTATTGATATGCATCTTTTCAATCATCTCTTTTGTAATTCCTTCTGGAGCTCCAATAACAACATTATCGACATAGCCACATGCTAATAAACTCATAACTCTTTCACCAATATTACAAATTGGATAATTAATTCCTAACTTCTTATTAGCAATTACATCATCATATACTCCAACAATAACATAACTTCCTATTTCTTTTGCATGTTTCAATAATTTATAATGTCCAATGTGAAGTAAATCAAAAACACCATCAAGATATACAATTGTATCATCTTTTTTTGCTGTTCGCTTTTGCTCACTAAATAATCTTATCTTATCAATAGAAAGAATTGAATGTCTATATCCAGTCCAATGATCTTGTGAAGTTGGATTAAGCATTCTATAAATTAAGTCAGTTGTAGAAACTCCTTCAGTTCTTGGAACTAACTTAAGCATTCCATGTTCTTGAATTTCCCAATAACAATTCTTTCCAGTTACAGCATCACAAACAATATCATCTCCATGTACTACATAATCAATATTAAATGACTTAACAAAGTCATATGGAGTACACCACCAGACAATTCCATCTACTACTTCATCAACCCATTCACATGCTAACACTGCAGCAGTTCTTTCTTCCTCATTCATCACAGGCTTAGCTTTTTGTGTTGTGATGGTTTTATCACTATGAAGTCCAACACACAAACAACATTTATAATTAAATGCAGCAGCAGCTTGTCTTATGACATTGGCATGTCCCCAATGAAACATGTCAAAGCATCCATCAACCCATATTCTAGGTACTCCAGGTTTAGTATTCTTAACAAGATGATGTTTGAATTGGTTTTCGAATCCTTTTCCGAATGAAGTCATTAACGTTAAGCCAAATGGACTTTTTAAGTCCTGTCTATAATAAAAACAAAAATCTCGCTCAATTTATTCAATAACAATAAAAAAAACCATTAAAATGAACCATAAGAAAATCAAATTAAAATCCAGCATCATTCTGATCCATTGGTCCTTGCATTCTTTGTTGTGGAATCTTTGGACCTCCTGCAGGTTTTTGCATTACTATTTGATCAACAAGAAGAATAGTAGTTGCAATATTAGTTGCTAACTTAATAGCATTCTTTTTTGCTTCTAAATTATCAAATACCATCTCTTGCTTAGTATTAAGTAATTGAGTATTTGAATCCACATTAACTCCCATTGAAATATCGTTTTGATGTGCTACAAATAATTCAGAAAGAATTTCAGTTGCATCAAGTCCTGCATTTTCAGCTAAAACTCTTGGAACCATTTGGAATGCTTCTGCATATTTCTTAATAGAATATTGTTTTAATCCATCACATTTATCTCCTACCTCACTAATCTTTTTTGACATTTCAATTTCAAATGCACCAGCTCCTCCAACAAATTTTTTATGCCTTTCAAGAATTTTAAATTCACAAACACAATCGTCAATAGCTTGTTCAATATCATCTAAAATATTTTGTGTTGATCCACGAACAACTATTGTTGTTACAGCAGCAGATTCTTTACGTTCAAAAACAGTACATTTAGTACTACCAATTTCTTGTACATAAATTTTTTCACACATACCAAAATTACCTGAATCACATTCTGTTGTTAAACTAATAAATGGAGTAGCTCCAGTAACACGACATAATCTTTTTAAATCAAATGTTGATCCTACACGAATGACAATAATACCTGCTCTATCACAATAATGTAATGCTAAATCTTGAACATTTCCTCCACAAATTACTGCTTTAACTCCTTGTTCTTTAAGTTTATTTACTAACTCTTTAAGCATTTCTTCTTCTCCTTTACTAAAATTCTTAAATTGATCAGCATCCTTTAATAAAACTGTTCCTTTAGTTTCAGTCTTTGGTAATTCAAACCCTTGTACATAAATTGCTACTTTAGCGTCTTGAACCTCTAAGATACTTCCAGATGGTGTTGTTTGTAATACAAATCCATTAATAATTTCACTCTCATCAACTGAACCTCCAAGAATTTTTGCAACTCTTACATTATCTACGTTAAATTCATACCCATGAAGAGTACGATGACAAGCCTCAACAACTAAATGTGTAAAGAATTCACTATACCCAGCTACTTTTGCTCCAATAACTGGTTTTAAATATTTTTCTACTAACGAAACAGAAGCATCACCTGCAACTGTAGATAATACAAGTTCTTCACAATGTTCATTAAAGAATTTTAAACCAGTTCGATATCCGTCTGCAATAATAGTTGGATGAAGTCCCATTCTTAATAACCCTTCAGCTTGAGTCATTAATTCACCAGCAAACATAATAACTAAATTTGTAAAATCTCCAATCTCTGCTTGTTGTTGTTTTGCTGCATTAATAACCATATTAGCAGCAGGGTGTTTGAATTCAAGCTCGGTGATAATTTTAGCTGCATCTGAAGTAACGTATTGTTTTCCTCTATTGTTAACAATTAATTTCTTCATTCCTTGAGGTCCAAATGTTGTTTTTGTTATTTGTGAAAGAGATCTGACTGCTTCTACATTCTTTAGTACTGCCTCTTCAAGTCCACTGAGATGTTTTGTTCCTTCTTTTAATAAATCTGCCATGGTTTCTCTTTCTTTGAAATGAAAATGAAAAGAGAACTTGATCTGTGAAAATCCAAACGCATAAATTTTGATTCTATTCTTTTTTAATTTATTTTACTATATTTATAATTTATTTTTCGTTTTATTTACTTTAAAAAAACTTCATGACACAATTTTGAACATCGCTAGTAACCAATGGAAAAACCAAATAATACTCATTTCAATTGATACACATCGACAAATAAAACACTTTAACAACTTTATTCTATTAAAAATTTATTGTTCTTGTTCAACATAATGGTTGAGAATCTTTAATATGAAATATATGAAAAAAAGAATATTATCTTGAGAAGGAAATATGAAAATAACTTTGAACAATCTCAAATAAACAGAAAAATATAATAATTATTATTTCTTTTTAATTCTGAATAAAAACCCTTTTTTTTAAAATAAGTTAATCAAAAGATGTCACGTAAAAACAGCAACAAGAAGTTACAAGAAGAAGAGGAAGAAATAGAAGATGAAGAAGAGGAAGAAGTAGAAGAGGGAGTAGAAGATGAAGAAGAGGAAGAAGATGAAAGTGATGAAGAAGTAGATGAAAAAGATGATGAGGAAGAAGTAGAAGAGGAAGAAGAAGAGGAGGAAGAAGACAGTGTTGAAGAGTATGAGATTCATGTCTATGAAGAAAATGGAGAAGAAGTTCTCTTTGGAGATGAAGAAGATGAAGAATGGAATCCAGTTGTTGCTGAAATTGCACCAGCACCAAATGTAGATGTAACACAAACTGCAACAAGTAATTTTTGGAAGTGGTTACGAAAAGATTGGATTGAGTCTCATGGTGGATTACAAGCAGTGATCAATGGAGGACTTTATTATGGTAATGATGAAATTAAAAAAACTTCTGGTACTACAGAAACTAAAGAGAAAGTTGAAGTTAAAAAAGAACGAGTTCAAGTTGAATTATTTGATAAGTCTATTCAAGGAGATGAAGCAATTGAAAAGAAACACATTGAGGTTATTGATAAAACTAAACAAAAAGATAGAGATGAGTTACCAATGTATTTGATTTGGTTAGAAGAAAATGCTAGTGCACAAACATTAAAATTCAAGATTGCATCTGATATTTTATCTGTTTCTATTACTAATTATGGAAGAAGTAAAAGACCTGGAATTGGAATGGATAATGAATTTCTTGGTACTCTTCTTAAAACATCAGAAAGAATTCTTGAATATCTAAAAAATAATGAAGTTATTGCTTTATTAAATGATAAATCAATTAGTAATAGAATTAGCCTTTCTTTAAGTAGAATTATTGAAGATGAAGTTCATTCATTAAAAGAATTTACTCCATCAACAGAAATATATTCAAATAAAATGCAAGAAATTGTTAAATTTTCAAATATTTCATTAGTTGTATTAGCTCATTTAAAGAATATTGCTAAAAGTGTTAATGCACTTGCAAATGATTTTATTGACATCTTTATTGACTTAGCCTTATCTATTCTTAAGGCTATTCATTGTTTCCCAAATGATACATCATTTATTTATGATAATCAACCAATAACCCTTAAAAATTTAGTAACTGCACTTGCTACAGTTATCTTTACAGAGTCTAAAGATGAAGAATCAAAACAAATTGCATTCCTTTGTCATGTTGCTTATCTTGCTTTAAATGGAGATTATAGTGGTGCTTCATTATTAGTTTCAATTCCAGCAACATTAATTAATAGTAATATTCCATTCCAAATTTTACATAATAGAGCTGTTGCTCTTACTGCTCTTTCTGCTTTTAAGGCAAAAGAATATCGATTAGTTTATAAATTACTTCATGACTTAATTCAAACAAACCATGTTCAAGTTATTCTTGGTCAAGCTAATATGAAATCAGAAACAAGATCAATTCCACCACATATGTTTATTGACATTAATGCGTTAACTGCTGCTTTTTATTTCTCAGCAATTGCTTCTGAAGAAGGAGATTCTCCAATGAATATTACTGCATTCAAAAAATTAATTGAAAATAAATCAGCTGCTTTTATTGTTCCAGCACAAAATATTAGTGGGCATGCTTGTGCAATTCATCGAGCTATTCTTGAAGGAGATTGGGTTTCTGCTTTTGAACGTATTGATATAATTGAAAGTCAAACTACTCTGAAATTAGATTATTCAGATATTAAAAATATCATTAAAACATTTGCTGCTAAGGTTTATATTAAGAAATATAGAGATTATTATAATGACCTTACTCCAGAATATTTTGCTGAACTATTCCAAATAAGTGAAGATGCTGCAAAGACTCTATTGAATTAATTTAAAAAAATTGCTTTTAAATTCTTTTTACTTTTAAAATAACATTCATTTATTTTAATAAATATGGTTCTGGATATAAGGCTGAAGGGTGTTTAGATAATATCCAATCTTTGATTCTATTAATCTTTTGAATATAGAATAATTTGTTTATTTTACTTACTGATTTTTCAGTCATTTGTTGTGATTTAATGTTTTGTTGTTTTGGTTTATAACATTCTTCGTTTGCAAGCTGTAATTTATCAGTTTTATTTTGAATAGATAAAGCAGTATCTCTTCTGAAAGTTAGACTTTTGCTGTTGATAAATTGGTTTTGCTTATTTTCAGTAACTAATTGGAATGACTTCATAACTTTATCAACAACAATTACTTGCATTGTATAATGGTATTACTTAGTTCAGAGATATTCAAATAAACATCACTTTATAACACTATTATATATGACAGAACATAAATTTTCTTGTTTAATTAATATGAACTTTCTTTTGAGTCTAAATTTTATAAATTTAATTCAAGATAGTTAAAATATATAAATATAAATATTATTAATGAGGAGTTATTTAAATATACATCATTGTTGAATCTTGACATCAAAAAAAAAATTAAAGCAAAATAATGATACAAATAATTTATTCAAGTATTAAATTAGATTCAACCCACTGAATTACATAACTATCTTTTATACGTGGAATAATAATGGTTCTAATATTTTGATAATATTCTTTCAACCAATTTTTCTCTTCAATTGTTAGTAGATCATAATCAATTAAACAAGAACAATATGGAACCAATGTTAATGGTGTTAACTTAAAAGATGAGTTTTGTGTATTTTCAAAAACAATAACATTTTCTATTCTAATTCCAAATTCTTTCTCAAGATAAATACCTGGTTCAATACTTGTTGTCATCCCTTCTTTTACTTTTAAACCAACTCCATACATTGGTGGGTATTCATGAACAAAAGAATAATGACCAACTCCATGACCAATGTCATGTTTAAAGTCCCATTCTTCATTTTCATTTAAAATGAGTTTTCTTGAAACTGTATCAATTTTATCAATACTTTCGTCCTGAAGAATTTTTGTCATCTGTGCATCTATATGTCCTTGAAGTACTCTGGTATAACACAGTCTTTCTTTTTGTGTCGGTGTTCCAAAATGAAGAGTTCTTGTAACATCAGTTGTGCATCCACTTTTATATTGTGCTCCAACATCACATAACAATGTTTTATCCCAATTAATTAATTCATTTTTTTGTTCTGTTGGTTCATAATGCATCATTGCTCCATTCTTTCCAGTAGCAATGATAGAAAGGAAACTTGGTTCATCATATTTTTCTCCAAGTTCTTTTCTTAATTTTTCTAATAATACACTTGCATCCCATTCTGTAATATCAGTCCCTTTTAATTGATTTAATTTACTAAAGAAATAACAAAGAATAACACTATCATTGATATGAATTTGTTTTATCATCTCAATTTCTTTTGAACTTCTTATTGATCTTAATTCTTGAATAAATCTTAGTGATTCTTTTCTTTTCAAATTTGAAATCGAGTCAATAATATCTTGTAATTTCATATTAACATTTTCTTTATTATAAACAACAATGGGAGTTTTTATTAAATGTTTAATAGATCCAAAGAATGAATGATAAGAGTGAATTTTAATCTTTAATTCATTAAATGGATATTGTACTTCTAATTCTTGTGCTTGGTTTTTATTTCCCACAAACAGATGAACTTGGGTTGGAGTAATAACTCCATACCCATATGCTATTGGTGAAAAAGGAATATCATGTGCTCTAATATTGAAAGCCCAATTAACATCAGCAAGATCAGTTAATATAATAGTACTATTATGATATTTCTTTCTAATACTTTCTATTTTTTGAATTACTGGTGTTGAACATTCATTAAAAAGATGAATTGGAGATAAAATAAATGGTAAAGGATTAATAATATTAAAAATATCAATTGGGATAATATCCAATTCAATATCAAAAAGTTCTTCTAATGACATGTAATTTGTAATTTCAGGATTGAGTCCTAGAGAAATCTTTTTACTTTGTTTAATCATTAAACATGGAGAAATAGTTTCTATATTATCAATATCATATACTTCCCATCCTTGTGCAATTTCTTTTTTTGCTTGTAAAAAATAAATACTATCAGTCCATAAACATGCTTGTTTTTGAGTTATAACAATTTCACCTGTAAATCCACTAAATCCACATAACCACTCTAATCGATGATAAAATGAATGAGTAAATTCTGTCATATGAGGATCAGATATTTCATGATAATAATGAGTAATTTTACGTTTTTTCATTTCATTTCTTAAGAGTTTTAAATGTTGTTGAAACATGAATTAAGAAATAAACAATTTTAATTAAAATATAAAACATTATCTTTAAATAACACAAAAATAAAAATAGAGAAATATGAAAAAATTATTTTAATTTTTTAGAGTTCAACGATTCACTGAACTCAAAATTCAAAGATGGCTTCAGAAAGCGAGAAAACTAAGATTGTTACAACGTTCCTTAAAGACTCTCCACCAGGAGAATTTAATAATGTTCTTAAAGATTGTAGAGAAGTAGTTGGTGATGATAGTATATTCCAAGAATGTCTTCCAATTTGTTTACATGATTACAACACTGAACAACTCACAGTTGTAATGGATGGAACTAATCCAGTAATTATTTCTAAATACACAGAACAATCTGCTCAAGAATTTATTGATCCAGTTAATAAGAAAGTTGTTACTTTTGATCACTTGAGCAAACAAATCACTTCAAGTCAACCACTTTCTTCTGGACTTCCAGGTAATGATTCATTAAGACAAGCTCTTCAAAAGAAATTAGACAATTATGCAAAAGAATTCTATCCAAAAGGTGCTGCTATTGTAATGCCAAAAGATAATAATACATATACAATTATTATTTCTGCTGCTGATCTTAAAGTAGCTCAATTCTCTAATGGTAAATGGAGATCAGAATGGACTATTTCTGTTGGAAGTAAAGTAACTTGTGAAGGAAGAATTAGAGTTCAAGTTCATTACTTTGAAGATGCTAATATTCAAATGCATACTGATACTAAAAAGAAAGTAACTTGTAATGGTGGTTCTGAAGATCAAATTGCTCAAAATGTTATTAAGGAAATAAAAAATATTGAAGACACTTTCCATGCAGAACTTGATAAAATCTTTGCTACATTAAGTGATAATTGTCTTAAGGCATTAAGAAGACAACTCCCAATCTCTAGACAAAAGATTAACTGGGCAAATTGGAAAGGTCATAAGATGATGAAATAAGATTTTATCTCTTCATTAATTTTCAATTATTCTTTCAAATTTTTTTATATTTTTTTTTAAGATCTTATTAATATTACTTTTCAAAAAAAAAAATAAAATAATTTTAAGATTATTGAGTTATAATAAAATTTAATAATAAATAAACTCAACAGAAGTTACTAGAAGATGAGAATATAAGATGACATTGAATTTGAGGTTTAATAAGTATAAGAAAGAAAGACGTGGCAGTCAAAAAGAACTTAAAAAGGATGAATCAGAGAAAAATAAATAAATAAGAAAAATGCAATTTAACATTGATTTAAATATGACATTAGAGAAGATGAGAAATCCTGATCCTGATTTAAGATATATGGCAACCTCTGATTTTAATAATAGTTTAAATAAAAGTAAAGTATTTAAATTTGACCAAACACAACAAAAAAAGATTGTTATTGGTCTTTTAACATTACTTACTGATGAAACTAATGATGTTAAAGATATTGCTATTAAATGCATGACATCATTCGCTCCATATATAACATCTGCTTTATCAGTAAAATTAATGTTAGAAAAATTACAAACTATTTTATTAGACCCAGCTAAGAAAATGGACATTCATAGAGATGTTGCTGTTGAAGTTATTAAACAAACTTTAAAAATCTTTATTATTAATAAAGAATTTAAATTATTATTGAACGATAGTTTTTCTATTCCATTACTTAATTTCTTTAATCGTAAAGAATTAACTGATATATCTATTGGATATAATTTAGATGTGTTAGATGTTATTATCACTAAAAATGGATCTACATTAGATATATCTAATGTCATTAAAACTCTTCTTCCTTATATTTCTAACGGTGTTTTTGCAAACAGAAGAAGAACAGTTCAATGTATTGCACATCTTTCTAAATATGCTGATGATAAACAATTAGAATTAATTCTTAATGACTCTCTTACCGCTTTAAAGAAATGTGCTGTTAAAGAACAAATGAAAGTATATGTAACTTTGTTTTCATCTATTTGTGGTATTATTAAAGACAAATTTGGACCTTTTGTTAATAATACTTTTGTTCTTTTAAAAGAAAAGTTTACTGGAGCTGAAGAAGATGTTGATGATGATTTGAAGGAAGCTGTTTTGAATACTTATAATGTTTTTCTTTTGTCTTGTCCAAGTAAACTTGGTAAAATAGCTGATGAGATTTTAGGTGTTGCTTTGGAATATATTCAATATGATCCTAATAGATTTGAATTTGATGAAGAAGATGGAGAAGCAATGGAAGAAGAGGAAGAAGAAGAAGAGGAAGAAGAAGATATTTTTGAAGATGAACAAGATGTTACTTGGAAATTAAGAAAGTTAGCAGGTGATTGCATTAATTCTATTATCCTCAAAAGAGAGGATTTGTTTGATAGATTTATAGAAGAAGGACTTTCAGTTGTTGTTAAAAGAATGAAAGAAAGTGTTGAGATAGTATTAGATATTATTTTAGGTATTTATTCATTAACAATAAATACAATTAATAATGGTCATAAAGTAGTTCATGAAAAGATTACACAAACTATTCCAACTGTTATTTCTCAAATAAACATTATTTTGAATGGAAAGAAGTTTGTTGAGAAATCAAAGATTGAATGTTTTAAGATTATTTCAGAACTTTCTATATTTGATGGAGATATTTTGCTTAAAGAAATTGGAATAACACAAAGTGTCATTACTGAATTACTTAAGGCACCAAAAACACATGTAGAATTATTATTTGCTCTTTGTGATTCATTGAGAAATTTATTCAAAGTGAAAGGAACAAGTTCAATAGATATTTCTATTTCTCCAATTCTTATTTCATTATTTGAAAACAAGAATTTTAGAATTGCTATTGATGCAATTAAAACTGAAAATTCATTATTAGAAAATACAGATACTATTGAAGAAGGAAAAGAATTAAATGTTGTAAATATTCTTAGTTCATTAATTAGTTTAATTAAATCAGATAAAGATCATGAAGTTAAAGAACAAGCGATTTATTGCATTGGAACAATTATTAAAAAGTTCATTTCTATATTACCATTTGATTCATTGAAAGAGTCATTTGATGAACTTATTTCATTATATGAAAATACTTTTTTGAAAGCACCTGCATTAATTGTAGTTGGAAATACAATTAATTATCAAATTTTAAATGTATTAAAGAATGCAGACAAATTATTCCTTCAAACTATCCAACAAACACAACAAGCAACGAGACAAGTTAAAGTTACTTCATTAAATGCTTGTAAAAGTATTTTAGAGTCATATCCTTCAATTTCTAATAAAACTATAGAGTTAGCATTACCAACCATTTCTAGTTTTATTTATGATAGTGATAGTAGTATTGTAGAAATATCTGTTAACATTATTTCTTTATTTGCTAAGAATGAAGAATTAATAAATACAATTCTAAATAATGTATATCGTAAATTAGTAGAAATTAGTAAAGGAAATAATGCACGTGAAAGTTTAGGTTCATGTTTAATGAATATAACTGCTATTTTAGCCACTAAAGAAAAAAAGAAAGTTACTGATATGATTATGAAGATTGAAAATCATATTTACTCTAAAGCTAATTTATATTTAACTGGTTTAATGCTTGCTGCTACTAAACCTGAAGTGTCAACGATTCTTAAAGAAGTTAAGGCTAGTGTAAAAATTTTGAAAGCTAATGTTAGTCAATCAGTTGAATTCTTTAATACAATTGTTTTATTATATGCTATTGGACAAATGGCTATTAATGGAGAGGTTGAAAAAGAATCACTTCAAGATATTCTTGTTGATTTACTTGAAGTTGATAGTGACCCAGTTAGACAGGCTGCATCTATGGCACTTGGGTCTCTTCCAGGAGTTATCCCATTCTTATTTGAAAAGTTACAAAAGAAGAAGAGTTTCTTCTTAATGAGTGCAATGAAAGAAGCTGTTAAGTATACTGACCAAAGTGAAGTTGAAAATATAATACAACAACTTATTTTACTTGGTTCTGATGATAAAATTTTATTACCATTGTCTGATTGTTTTGGTAAATTAATTTCTATTGATGCTGCAACTTATGTACCACGATATTATGTACCAGCATTAAAAGATAAAAATGGTAATGCTGCATTAATTGGATCAATTAAAAAGACATGTATGAATAATTGTGATGTTCAATTATTTGTTCCATTAATTCCTTTAGTTGTATCAAGGTTAGGAGATAAAACACCAGCAATTAAATGTGCATTATTTGCTGTTATTTCATATTTATTAAATCATGCACAAAAAGAAATTTATCCATATCTTAATAGTATTTTGGAAAATGTTATTGCACAAACTGCAGTTGATCAAACTTATATTCTTGTTGCTAAATTCGGTAATTGTAAACATATTTCAGATAATGGTCTTGATGCTAGAAAGGCAGTTTATGATTGTTTGAATGTATTGATTGATAATTTCTTAAATGATCTTGATTATAAGAAAATTGCAACAACAGTATTAAATGGTATTGTTAATGATAATGATCATGACATTAAATTACTCTGTTTCAATTTATTAACAAAGATGGTTATTCTTAATCCTGACCCTATGGTAGAAAATATTGAAGACTTTGTTCCAGAGATGAGAAAGCTTATTAGTAGTTCTTTAGATGAAAAGAATAAGGATGTTGATCCACCAAAACAACAAGAACTTTCAAAAGCAGTTTGCAGATTTATTGCTAAAATTTCTGCCCATCCATTGGCAAATGTAAGTGTTCAATTTGAGAAGTTATTTAATGATATTATGAATAGTTTGAAAATGGGACCAATATTTAAATCAATGGTTTAATCTTAATTTAATAAATTGAAAAGAAACTTACTCAATCATTTTTAATTTTAGTTTTATGTTAATTTTAATTGAGTTGGATAATGGTTATCTAAATAATTATCATTAAATTGAAAAGTTACTTCTCTTTATCATTTCATCTTAATTAATTTATTATGAATTGTAAATTGTTTTAACAAAAATTTATCTATTTCATTACAAAAAACTAAAATCCAGATTGAAAAATTACTAGAAAATGTCAGAAGTCAAAAGTATGTCTGATGCACCAAAAGTTCGAGGAGCAATTCCAAGGGAAAAAGAAAAAAAAGGGGAAATTAAATTCATTACTGTGGCTAATAGAGGAACAAGAGAACAATTAGAATTATTAACAGCTATGAAAAATATTGTTTCAAGACATTTACCTAATATGGCATTGGATTATATTAGTAGAATTGTTTATGACACTGTGTATCATGAGTCATTATTGCTTATTAATTGTAAAGATAATAAGCCTTTTGGTGGAATTTGTTTTAGACCATTTCCAACTCAAGGATTTGTTGAAATAGTTTTTTGTGCTGTTGATTCTACACAACAGGTACAAGGGTTTGGTTCATATCTCATGCAACATTTAAAGAAAGAAATTCAAAGTCGAGGAATTTATCATATTTTAACTTATGCTGATAATCAAGCTATAGGTTATTTTATGAAACAAGGATTTCATAAACATGTAACATTAAATAAAGAACGTTGGCAAGGTTACATTAAAGATTATGTAGAAGCCACATTAATGGAATGTGTCCTTCACAAGAATGTAGAAGACTATACTGACGTTCCTTCAACAATCAAAAAACAGCGAGATGCATTACAATCTCTAATAGGACAAGTGTCTAAATCTGAAGTACGTCCAGGACTAACATGTTTTAAACAAGGGATTCCTAAGATAAAAATTGAAGAAATACCTGGATTGAAAGAAACTGGTTGGAAACCTGATGTTCATTAACAAATTATTAAATGAATTAACATAAATCTTTCGTTACAAAATTACAACTATAGAGTATTTATCAATTCAATTTCTATCTATCTTTTTATTTTTCTTTCTGAAGACGTTACATTCCTGTTGCTAATTTATATCCTCCTGATTGTTTTAATAAAAACCCTTCATTATTTAACTGATCAACAAGATCTTGCATATCTGGAACATGTAATTGACTTGCAATTTGTTGTATTTCATTCTTGGTTAATATATTACTATTTTTCTTCTTTGCTTCTGTTTGGAATACACGCATTAAACTCTTAAGCATTTTTGACTTACCTCCACGAACACCTCCCATAGCTCTAAAATCAATAACAGGTGAGTTTGATATACCACCTAATCCCGTTAAACTTGCTATTTTAAATATTTCTATCACATCCATAGCATCGTCCTTTGTTGCAATTTCTCTGCATTCCGCCTTAGCTCTTGCTTCAGTCAATCGAATTAAACTTTCTAGTTGACGAGTCGTTACTGGAGTATCATCATCTTCTTTATACGACTGCCTTAGTTCAATGTAAAAACGCTGTAATTCTAATTTAGCTTCTTCGTTTAGCTGAGGATGAATATTAGCTCTTGCATAAGCAAGATATTTTCTAAATAGTCTTGGTGGTAATGGGTCTGAGCTTTCAACACTATGGTCACTTAAATAATCCCTTAGACTAATTCTTCCGTTTGTGGATTGGGTAGTTCCTGTTGAAGAGATTTGAGAAATTGATAATTGACTATATTTCCTTTGAATATTCTTCCCAGAATGCATTTTAATAATATGATTAGATAATTCCTTGTCTGCTTCAGCGTCAGGATTATCAACTAAAACAAAAATCAAATCAAACCGAGAAAGTAATGGTGAAGGCATATTAATATTTTCTGAAACTGTTTTACCACAATTGAAATGACCTTCAACTGGATTTGCTGCAGCAATTACTGAAGTTCTTGCAAGGAGTGTACAACAAATACCTGCTTTAGCAATAGAAATTGATTGTTGTTCCATAGCCTCCAATAGTGATGAATAGTCTGCTCGTTCCATTTTATCGAATTCATCAATACAACAAACTCCTTGATCTCCTAGTACCAATGCACCACTTTCTAATGTAAAATCTGATGTTCCTGAATATCTGTGTAATGCTACTGTTAATCCTGTTTTAGTAGTAGAAGATCCAGATACATAAACACCTCTTGGAACTATATTTGCAACTGCTCTCAACATTTGTGACTTACCTAATCCAGGGTCTCCAACAATTAATAAATGAGAATCAGCCCGAATTTTTGCAATATCATGTTTTCTTGTTCCACCAAACAACACCAATACAATTGCTGTTTTAACTATATAATGTCCATAGATTGGTGGACATAATGAATGAACAAGTAATCTAAGTAAATTATTTTTTTCTTTTAATATCTCAATAAATTTCATATCTTTTTCTGAAAATTCTGTTATATCTCTATCTCCAGTCTCTGCACGACAGTTTTCTAAGTAATTAACAGCAATATATGGTTCATAAATTGTTTGACTTTTATTTTTTCTTTTAAACTGTTTTGTAATTGAGTCATTTCTCCTTAATACTCCAGAGACAATAACAGTATCTCCAGGCACACACGTGTTAACCAATTCATTAACTAATTCAATTTCAATACTTCGAGGAATTCTTCCTTCACCTTCATCAACTTCTTGAATTCTAATTCGTTGTGTCTCAGTTACTTTTACAGTATTTCTCATAGGAATAAAACTTGATGAACCACATAAATGACATTTTTTTGGTTCTGTATATTTTCCATCTCTAAAAGTCACTTCTTTGTTTGCTTTGCAAGTACTACAACAAAACACCATTGATACAAGATGAGGCTTAATTGAACTTGCCCTAATAACAGTACCTTTAATACAAATTAATTTACCTATAGACGATGCTTTTAATTCTTTAATTGTTGATGTTGGTTTTGGTATTTGGACTCGAACAATACACCTACAGTCCATTATTTGTGATGGATCAGAAGCTGAGTGTAAGGCTACATAATGCATAGCATATTCTATTGATGGTATCACAATTTCTGGTTTTTCAAATAACATTTCTTTAAAGTCTTCTTCACCAACCATTGCAATTAAGTCATCTAACTGAATATTCATTCCAACTTCACTATGTCCAAGGAATTCTTCTGCATGGACATATTCTTCAAATTTTGGTACTAATAATGAAGATAATTCTAATTCAGTTTTCGATGATTTTGGGTTATAGAAATAACGGTCTTGTAGTTTTAATTCCAAGTCTATTAATTCCATTCTTTCACACTTACAATTTTAAGTTTCTTTTTTTCATGTCTTTTCATTAAAATTCCTCAATTCCTTTTCACAGTTTTTTTTTAATTAACATCTTTTATACTTTTTATGTGTTTTTAAAAACAAAATAAAAAAAAATTTTTATGTTATAACATTCAACAACTTGAAATTGAGAATATAAAAAATAAAAAAAAAAAGATAAAAAGAGATAATCAGATCATTTTATTGATGAGTAAAACAACAGCTGGTATTTATCGACCAATGGGTATTCAAGTCCAACAAGAATTTGAAGGGTTTTCATATTCAAAATCTTTTCTTACTGGGGCATATGCATTATCTTATTATTCAAACTGTAAAACTGCAATAGTTAATTTTCCTAATTCACCACGTGTAGAAAAAATAGTTTGTGATAATAAACCAGGATATACTCTAGTTTCAAAATATGATAATGCCATATACTTTTACGTATTTCCAGAAGAACTTCATATTTTAAAATATACTAAAGATTTTACACATCAAGTAGTAAAATTTAAAAATGATAGTCAAACGATTAATGGGACTTCATTAGTGATGGAAGATGAATTTTACATTTATTTAATAAGTACATCTAAAATAGTTACAATAGAAAAAAAAAATCCAACAGAAGTTAAAAATATTTGTCCACTTGATAATAGTTTTAGTTCATTTGCAAAAGAGTCATGTGTATTACCAAATAATAGAATATTATTAGCTGATTCAGTAGTTAATATGGGTAATGTACATTTTAAAGTTTGGGATCTTATTGCTAAGAAAGTTGTTGCTCAATTATATCGTGTCCCTGGAGAAAATGAGCCAAGTTGTTATCAAGTATTTCATGATGAAATTTATATGGCTATGGGAACTTGTGTTTATTATTGTACTATTCCAACAAAACTAAATCCAGATAATATTGTTGTATTAGAATTTAGTAAATATGAGTTTCATGATCGTTCTATTCAATCATTCCTTGTTGAAGATGATTATGTTTTTATTGGAGATTCTTATGGAATGGTAACTTTGCATTCATTCCCATCCTTTGAATATCTGCATTCACTTGCACTTGGAGTTGAAAGAGATGAACAAGTAAAATTCTTTGATGAAAGACCTGTATTTAGTTTCCGTAATTCAGTTGTTGGAATGAAACGAGTATTAAAATATCTTGTATATTGGTTATTAAATGGAACCGTTTGTATTGCAAATTTCTTTGCAACAGAAAGACAGGTTGATTGTTTATCATTTGGAGATAATAAAAGACAATTAAGAGAGATATATTTTACATTTAATGAAAAATTGAATATAAATATGAGATTTAATGTACTTAAAGAACAAAATTCTGCAATTATTCCACTCAATGAATTTTATACTTGGGAAGTTCAAATGCCTTCAAGAATTAGTCCTGAATTAGCATATGTTGGATTTTTCCAAATGTTTCCAACAATTATTAAAGGAATTTATTCAGCTCTTGATAATGGTTCAAAAAATACAGAAAAATTAAAAAATGTTGTTAAAGAATGTTATTTTATTGTTACAACGATTAATTCAATTAAAGAACATACTGGAGCTCTTATTCCATTTCAATTTTTCATTGAAATGGTAGAAGGGATAAGTGAAGCACATGCGTTTTGTGATGACTCATCAAAGAAATCACAAGAAGAAATTATTGATATTTTAAATAAGTCAATAAATGATTTGGTTGTTGGAATAGATGACTCAGTAGCCATTGCCCAACATAAGATTGATATGGTTAAAGATCCAAAATTTATTGATCCAGGACAACCATCTTCATTTGCAATAAAAGCTACTCATTATAATCAATCAATGAGAAAACATTTTATGGAAGATTTATTAAATCCAAATTATGTTATTGATGAAAATGATCATAGAGTAAAATTCTTTTATATGAATTCTAGTTGTTTTCTTATTCAAAAACAAAATGATTTTCATAAACATATGAATCAATTTACTGAGTTTTGTCAAAATAATGATGTAGGTGCTCTTGTAGATGCTCAAGAATTAGTTAAAATTAATGCTCTATTAGATCAAGTTTGTCTCTTTTTTAATTTATTTAATTAAAAACAATAAGAAAATATTAATATTATTAGATTCATGATGAAATTCAAGAAACACGTGATGATATTAAAGATATTGTTTCAACAACATATGCCTCAGATAAATGGTTACATGAATTAGACTTTATTAATGAACAACTTCCATTAATTTAACAATAATTCCTTTTTTTTTTTTTAATAATTTATTACTTTTTTATCTTTTTTTAAATTTGAAAAAGAATTACTTAAAATAGAAAACATTCTAACTTTTTAAATTTTGAATATTGAAAAAAGGAGTTTTTAATATTCTTTCATTATATTCTTAATCTCCAATTCTCTTTTGAATAGTATTAGAACTGATAAATATTAAATGATTATACTCTTTAAAGATTTACGTGATTATTTATATAAAACTGTCATAAAATCTATGCCAAGTGTTTATAAATTACAAAGCAAGAAAAATAAAATTCTTGATATTTTTTTCTTAATTATGACTCATTTGGCAGGTGTAGGTGTATATTGTGCTTTAATTCCAACAGCATGGTGGATTCATCCATCATCAGAATCTCTTAATATTAGTAATGACTTATTATATCTAATATCAATTACTACTTATTTGGGTAATTTTATGAAAAATTTATTTGCTTGTCCAAGACCTTCTGGAGTATGGCAACCTTTTAAAGAAATTGATTTTGGTTTACCATCAACCCACACAATGAATGCTGTGGCAAACGGTCTATTTTTTATTATTTATCTAAAACCAAATTTATGGATATGTTTATTAATAACAGTTTATGTATTTATTGTTGCAGTTAGTAGAATTTATATGGGAGTACATTCTCCAGCAGACGTTATTGCTGGTGCTTTATTAGGACTTGTTTCAATGGCATTTTTTGAATTTTTCCCTGATTTTCCTCAGAAATGGTATTTTATTCCAATTATGTTGGTTTGTCATATTATTTTATTATCACTTCATTCTTTGTGTTTTACTAGATATACACCATGTTATTGGAGGTCAGTTCTTGGATTTGGTTATATTTTATTAAATTTTACAATGGAAGTTTTAAATTGTCATGTTTTTGTACCTGATATGCCATCATATTCTTGTATTATTCATAGTCCTTTGTTGTTATTAAAATGTTTTATTTTAGGTTTTAGTGTATCGGGTATTGGTTATTTTGTGTTAAAGTTACTTAAATTATTATTTTCTCATTTACCATCATTATTAGATTGGTATAGTGCTAAAGCAAATATTATTCGTATTCATTGTCACTTAGACCCTCTTGAATTTACTCCAGAAATGAACCATAATAGATTAATTTATGCTAATGAATTTTTTTCTACTTATATAGGTGCTGTATTTATTGCTTGGATGTGTAAGTATGTTTCTCCTACAGTAGTTCAAAAAACTATACCAGAATTATTTCAACCTGACTTGTGCCTTTAGTTAAAGTAAAAAAAATTTGGATTAAAAGGTAAAAAAAAATAGAGCTTTAAGTATAAATTTCTTCTTTATTATTTTTATTGTTTTCTTTTTTCAGCTGAGAAAATCGTCATACTTATGTTACTTTTTTATTCTTTTTTTTTTTCTTACTTAGAAAAAATACTAGAGTCAATTTTTTATTTACATAAAAAATTACCTTATAATCCAACTAGTTTAAATAAAATAATGAAAATATATATTTTGTTTCTTCTTTACTAGTTGGACTAAACTAAGCTGCGTTTAGTGAAAAAATAAAGGCAGAATAGAGGAAATTAGGTAAAAATCCTACTAAAAAAATAAGGGCTTTGGGAGAGTAGAAAACAACCCCTTTCAAATAAACCCAGCTGAGTAAAATGATATAAAAATTTACTAAAAAAACAGGTCCATAGGAACTATATAGTGTTTAGAGAAGAAATAGAAAGAAACTGAATAATATTTAATGACTAGTGTATCTCAGTCTGAAACAAAAAATGAGAATAACTCATTCATCCACTCTCCTTCAGGTACCCCTGAAACACCACAAACACTAGACCAAAAAAAAGAGCAAAACAAAACAGATAATCCAAATCCAAAAAAAGTTAGGTCAATAGTGAGAATATCTAAATTAGAAGATACAGTAGATAAAACTTCATCAAAAGATATCATAACTCCAGAGCCATTTATTGACCGCAAAACTATAGAGCTTCATCAAATGGATATTTTGAATGAAAAAGAAGAAGACCTTCAATTAGTTCGACAACGGCTGAGTAGTGTTTCTTTTATTGGAAGAAAGACAGAGAATGGAAGTGGAGATATAAATACTTCTTCTCTATCAGATCAAGGAAAGACTACTGTGATTCTTTATGATGACTCTTGTTTCCTTCCAGAGGAAGAAGATAGTAAAAGGCCAAAAGAAAGACATTCATGTATTGAAGCCTTTGGCAATGAAGAAGAAGAAGAACCAGAAAAGTTAGACGAAGAAGAGTTGAAGAGAAAAAGAAAAAAAGAGATTGAAGAGTTCAAACTCTTTTCAGCAAAGAAGAAGCTGTAAGTTTGAAATAAATAAAACAGAACCCACATCATCAATCATCAACACAAATGTAATTTTAATTATAAACTGCTGGTACTACAAATTCTTGGTTTAAAGGTTCTTTCATTTTTTTTTGAACTATTTCTTATTTTTATATTTAATAAAATACATATGTCCCTTCTTCCTCATATTTACTAATACTAAACAATTGATATTTAAAAGAAGGGAATCCTGAATAGATATTTGCTCCACTAAAAGATTCATGAAGAGTATTAATAGAGTATGTTCTAAAAAAATTGTTTTGAATAGAATCAGCATTATGTTGAATTCGTTCAATAAATCCATGAATGAATGAATTTCCTCCACAAACACAAATATCACGCAAGATTTTATTTTTCATACTAACAGTACAAATACTTTTTGTTAATGCTGATGTAATAGAAGTTTTTCCTTTAAACAAAATTTCAGTTGAATAAAATCTTTCATTCCCAATGTCAATAACTTGATCTTTATTTGAAGAATAACAAACGTGTTGGTATGGTAAGGAAGTAATATCTACACCTTCGTTTTGTAACTCTTTTGGAATAAAAAATAATTCTTTCTTTTTGTCAGTATCAATGTCATATAGATTTTGGTGAAATCTTTGATTGAAATCTTTTGTTATATCAATACCACCAATATTAACATTTTGACAACTACCTGGCTCTAATCTCATTTGGTTGTAACAAGCAATTTGAGTAATTTCACTGCCACTTTGCACTACATAACCACTTGTTTTATTGCTTTGAATAAGAGCCATCAATGGTTGTGGTTTTAGACACACATTAGACACACCAAAATATTCAAATAAAATTTGTTCCATTTGAAATGGAAAATTAGTTTGTGTATTTAATGGATGAGTAACAAAGACACTTGCATCCTTTAGTATATCATCATAATAACTGTTTTTAAAACTTTCAAACACCTCCTCAAAAATGTCTTGTAACTCTTCCCAGTCAATGACTTTACCTCTGCTCATTGGATTACTTCGTCTTTGTACAGTTTTATTTTGGTTCAATTTTTCAACTATTTCTATGTCATCAAAGTGTATGTAATAGATTGATGGAAGTTGATTCCCAGAAAGGCCAAATCGAATTGTTTGACTTCCAAGGTCTATAATCACTGTATTACTCATCAAACTGAAGCGAAGTATTTTGAGTTGAATTTATAAAATGTGTTTTATATTACACAATAAAAATAACAAAATAAGATCTCAAAAAAACTTGAAAATGAAACGCCAGTTGAAAATAGAGAAAAAACCCCAAAAGAGAAGATCTTCATCTTTGTTAGTTAGATGAATAAGGAAGAAGCAATCAGTATTATTCAAAGTGCAATAAAAGAATATTGTAATCAGAAAAGTATATGGTTAAAGTTATTTAAAGAATGTGAAAAAGATTTAGAATCATACCACAAAGCCAAACAACTTGATGGAACAAAAGCTGAAGTAGGGGAATTAGAACAAACATTAATTAAACTCCAAAACGAAAATGCCAAATTAAAAAATGAACTACAAACAAAAGAAGATGTTATCAAAAACTATCAAAAAGAATTAACTGAAGTAGAAGAAAAAAATAAAGGAGTAGATGATAGAATTTTAGAAGAAAAAGAAAAAAGAAAATCAGCAGAGCTTGAATTAGAAAATAAAAAAGATGACATTCTTGAATTACAAGCAATGGTATCAAATCTTAAACAAAATCTTGCTGGATTACAACAAGAATTAAAAAATAAAGAAGAAGAAATCATAACTGAAACAGATAAATCTAATAAAGCATTAGCAGCTCAAAAAGTTTATCAAGAACAAAAAGAAAAATTAGAAAGTGAATTGGCTGATGTTAAAATTAAATTAGACACAACTCAACAAGAACTGGTTGCTACTCAAGCTCGAGCTGATGGAAATGAAAAAGAAATTGAGGATATTACTCAGGAACAGAATGGATGGATTAGACAGGCTAAAGAAGCAAGTAAACAAATAGATTCATTAAATACTGAATTAGAAGAAGTAGAAAAGGATCTTGATGATGAAATTAAAAGACATACAGCAACTAAAGCAGACCTTGAAAAAACTAAAAATGATTTAGAATCAAGTAATAATCAAATAAATAAGTTAAAAGAACAATTAGAGAAAACTAAAGCAGAAAAAGATGAAAATAAGAATGTTGCTGATCAAGAAGTAGTTACTAGAAAAGCAGTTGAAAGAAAGGTTTCTGATTTAGAAAAGAAGGTTGAAGGATATAAAACCGATTATGAAACATCACAAAATCTAGTTAATGATTTACAAGTTAAATTAAGAGCAGTTACAAAAGAAAAGGAAGATTTAGAAAAAGAATATTCAAGTGGAAATAATATTCTTGAAGTGCTTCAACAAAGTAAACAAAAAGGAGATGAAGAAATTATCAAATTACATGACGATCTTGCCGAACAAGCTAAAAAAACTACTGATGCTATGAGAGATATAAAACAATTAGAATATGACAAAGTTGCATTAAATGGAGAGATTACTGAATTAAATCTTGAATTAGATAAACAGAAACAATTAGTAACTAAATTACAACAAGAAGTTAAACAACTTCAAGACGATAAAGAACTTAATGAACAAGATATCCGAGATGCTGGATTTGAAAATAAAAAATTAACTAATCAAATCAATGATGCAAAAGAAGCTATGGATAAAGAGTTGATGAAAGAAGAAAAATTAAAACAAGAAATTCAAGCATTAAAAGATACTATTGCTAAAAATGATGAAGAACATGACAAGCTAGAATCTGATATTAACAATAATGAAAAAACTATTAAACAACTCCAAAATGCAAATAAAGTATTAACTGAAAATCTTGAAAATTGTACTAGAGATAAAGAGGCAGCATTAAGAAAGAAAGAACAAGTTGAAACTGACTTGAAAGAGAAAAGTGAAGAATATGATGCATTAAATGAAAAACAAAGAGAATTAAATTCACAATTAGTTACTCTTCAAAAAGAAAATGCTGGATTAAATGAAACAGTTGGCACAATATCACCAGATTTAAAAAATACAAAAGCTTTATTGAAACAAACTCAAAAAGAGTTGAAAGACGCTAAAGACAAAATTGAAGGTTTAACTTTAGACAATGAAGATTTGAAAAAGAAACAAAAAGAGATTCTTGAAGGACATGTATCTATGGAAGAACTTGAAGACTATGAAAAACAATTACAAAGAGAAGTTGCTAAAATAAAACAAAAGAGTGATAAAGAAGCAGAAGAGTTACTTGATGCATTAGACGCATCAGATAAGAAGAATGAAAAATTAAATAATATTATAAATCAATACAAGGAGAATTTAGACAAATTAACTCAAGAACATGAAGAAATGGAAAAAGCTAAAAACACTGCAGAGAAGAGAGTTATTATCGTTCAACAAGACGTTAAAGATAAAGAAGAAACTATTGCTAAATTGGAGAAAGATAAAAATACTTTGAAAGATAGAATTACTGATTTGGAGAGTAGAATTGATGGACTTGAAGGAGGAAATGTTGATGTCAGTGTTGTTGTTAATGCTGCTACAGAATCTTATAAGAAACAAATTGATGATTTAAATAAGACTATCCAAGATGCTAAAGATCAAGAAAAAGATCTTAGAGATGAAATTAAAGATTTAAGATTAGACATTGTTGATTTAAAGGGTGAGTTAGAAAGTAAAGAACAAGAAGTTAATAAAGCTGGAGATAAACTTGTGTTAATAGATGATGAAAACCAATCACTAAAACAAACAGTGAATGACCTTAAATTAAAGATTAAACAAAGTGGTGATGAAAAGAATGAGTTAACAATGAAAATTAAATACATGGAATTACAAATGAGTGCTCCACAAAAAGAAATTGAAGAAAAATTAAATCAAGAAGTTATGAAGAATCAAGACCTTCAAGATGAAATAACAAGTATT